TCGACAGCTTGCGTAAAACTTGTCGAACAATAATGACATGATGGAAGCCGACCCCACGTAGTGGGATAAAGTCTTGATGTTGTTGTTGTTGTTGTTGTGTAATTGTTTTACTTTACACTCCTAATTCAGGCAACCAAACAGCCCCGAAATCCAATTCAAAATCAAATTTGGGATTTAGAATCCAGTTCAAAATCAAAATGCAGGAATTACGAATAGAGAAAGTATCTAATATCAAAATTAGAATATAAACCCAATCCAGTTCACAAGCCAATTTCACTAGAAATGCATTTAAGGAAACTAATCTGAAATAAAAATTTGGTTATTTTAATTTTAACTATCAAACGGATTTCCATCAGTCCAAGTTGCCAACTAGAAAAACCACAACTACCTGGCTATTGCAGCAAACTAATCTAAGCGATCCAATTAGAATATAGATCCAATCCAATTCACAAGCCAATTTCACTAAAAATTCATTTTGGGAAACCAAATTGAAATAAAAATTTGGTTAGTTTAATTTAACTATCAAACGGACTTCCATTAGTCTGAGTTATCAATCAGAAAAACCAAAACCAGCTGCTCTGCTATGGCAGAAAACTAATATGACCACATGCCTAAACCAGGTCATAACTGGTAAAGTTGACTGATAGAGAGCATAGGTGATTGATGAGCACCATGTGATGCGGACATCAGTACGAAGATTTGGCGCATCTATCACAGGAGGCGTCGTAAATCGACGGCTATAATTTAAACCTTCAATTATGATTTATTTTTAGGAATTTTAGTTCTTAATTAATGTATTTCCTGTTTTACCCCTAGGATAGTTTATGTGAGTGTTATGGCCCAAGGAGCAATTTTGTAATTTTGATTTTTTTTCTCATGTTGTGGCCTATATATAGGGCATTAAGCTATTGTAATAGGGATGAAAAATTGATTTAAAAAAATTTGTGTCCACACTTGTGTTCTTTTGAGAGAGCGTTAGTGAGATTCCTATGAGAGGAATCGAAGTTTTCACCAGCCGCAGAATGGGTCCGGGCTCGTGAATTGAAGTCCCTTGGAGAAGGGCAAAGCATCACCTGTCAGTCTTTGGAAGCGTCCGATGCTCGCGGTTCTTGTCTTCTACCTTTCGTTTTATCTTTGTTTTTCTTTTGTTTCTTTTATTGCTCCCCGTAGTCGTATTCATCTTGTCATCTTTCCTCCTCCCCACTCAACCCCTTGGCCAAACCTCCATACCAAGCTCCACGAATTAAGTGAAGTTATTTTCCTTTGGACAGATTTGGTCAACCTCCCCCTCCTCCCCATCTCCACGTACCATCAAGACTTTCCTAAATTGGTTTGCATATTTTAGGTAACTCTATTAATTTCAAATTCAAATTTATTTGAATTTGAAATAGTTACTTAATTTATAATCCTTATTTTAGGAAACTTGCTTAATCAAAGCCCATTTAAATTTTAAATTAAATTGGGATGATATCTTCATTTCCAAATTTAATTTATTATTTTTTTGAAGGCATTGATTGCCTCCATAATTCTCTCCCCTCCCACTAATGTCGTCGGCCCCATTACTAAGTTCTAAATTCAATTGAATTTTTATATTCAAACCTGAGAACATTAATTCACCTCATTCATTCCTAAATGCAAATCAATGAGCCTTAATATCCTCTTGCTTGGCCGAATTTTCCTCAAGCCCCCCCTATGAATTTCTTTCCTAAAATCTGATTGGAATTTGGGAATTAAATTCCCCACTTCCTTCTCTATACATTAATGGCTCCCTCTTCATGCCCGTAACTCCCTCATATCTTCCTTAATCTCCCTGCCAATCAACCTGCTTTGATTGGGGGCAATTAAGTGCAATTATTTTCCTTTGGACAGATTTCCAAAAGCTGCTGCTGTTGGCCGAATTCCCTCAAGTTCCTTTCTTGGTATTTCAGTTTTTTTTTTTTTTTTTTTTGAAACAAAATAGCTGAATAAAAATCTGAACTGTTTTGGATTTCATTAATTCCTGAAGGAATTAATTTGAAGACCTCCAAACCCTTATTCTAAATTGAAATCACGCCTGGCTTTCTTCCCCCTGCTGGCCGGAACTCCCCCATATCGTGCACACAAGTTCCCTTCCACAGACTTCTCCCAAACTCCATCTTAAGGGAGCTTTCTGCCTTCCAAGGATTGCAGCCAGCGAATTTCAGCAACTAGTAGTGTTTTTCCTGCAATATTGAAGCTCCAAAAACTACTGTTTTACAAGGCCAACCTGCTGTCCAAGTCTTCTAAAACATCAAAGCTGCTGAGAGATCCCCTCTCTAGCAAAACTATTTTCCGTTGTACATCACCATGAGAGTACTTGGAGGCCACCCAACAAATTATTAGTTAGGGTTGGACTTGAAAGCAAAGGCGTAGTTAGGGTTGGACTTGAAAGCAAAGGCGTTGAGAAAAACTCATAGCTATCAATTGCACCCAGTCCCAACCAACCAATTATTGGTTGGGCTTGGGCTTGTAAGAGAGATAGAGAGAAGCACTTTAATCAAAAAAATTTAACATTTTGCAATCAATTAATAATTTTAACAAAGGAGCTTCCTGAAAGACTTTTATATGTGAAGGACCTAAGCAAACATATTAACAACTGTGAGCCTAAGTGAAACACCTCCTTGACCTATGAGTCTATAGGTGCAATTCAATCAAACCAACTCCACTTTATGTTGACAAGAGAATATTGTGTCAATACACTTGTTAGACTTGAATAAATAGCTACAAATAAAAGGCTAGACACCTAGCACATAGAAAAAAAGATCATCAAAGGAAAAGATTTTTTGCAATTAGCATCATAAGCTAATGCCTCATTTGCCAATTATTTTCTTTCCAAGACATGTCGCAACTTGGATTTGTACATCAAATGTATAATCAAATGCGTTATACTACCAAAACCTCCTTCATGATCATGGACAACATACTATAAGAATAGCACTTTCCATCCATACTAAAGTAGCGGCTACTTCATACTTAGCAACCTAACATGACAACAATACAACATGCCTAACTAAGTCTAAGATTCAAATAAGTAAAAACCTGGATATTGATATCTTGTTTTTAAAAAAAAAAATAGTCACCCTCCTTTTCATCCCCTCATTACAAATATTAAAATGGTTTAGGCAACAAGTTTCTCTCTTTAATAAACTAACCAAATTGTGATGGCTCCAGCATCATAATCTAACTATTTATTTAACAAAATGTAAATATTACATTTCAAATTCTTGTAAGATTTTCCAATTTACTTGCAAGTACCAATATCCACCACAATGGGTGCAATAATGAATATCTAACAAAAAGGCATGGTTGTCATCACCTATGTCTTAGCATCGCAAGTGTATTCTTTCAAGTATCTATTATGTGGAACTCCATTGTTTATACTCTGAGAATTACATTATCCAATATACTTGCAAGTACCAATGTCCACCACAATGGGTGCATTAATGAATATCTAAAAAAACCATGGTTGTCATCTCCTATATCTTATCATCTTAATTATATTCTTTCAACTATCTTGATGTAGAACTTCATTGTTTATACTCCGAGAATCACATTCTTCAACTACATATCTGCTAATGCAATTTGCTAACAAGTATTCTCATATTTATGAAAAATAATTATACACTTTCACTTTAGATCATATACTCTGCATTCCTATAAATGAAAAATATTTTCACATCTTTCCTCAACTTCAGATTTCATGGATAACCTTTGCATGGATGTTAGAGCTTCCCAATATCTCATCATCTATATCCTAAAATTCTTTATATAACCCTATTTGATAAAGTCAAGGATGATAAAAATTTATGGGGGAAAAAAGATTTTGTAGTGCATTTTTTCCTTAAGCATGCTAGGTTTAAAGTCTAAAAATATAATATTCCATTTATTATTTGTAAGATACAATGGCCTCTACACAGAGTTGTCCTAAATCACAAAGCAAGGAATTGAAGACCAAAATAAGAAAATGAGAAGCATAAAAGAGATAGAAGGAATCTATTTGGGATCCTAACATTAAACAAGAGATGAACTCCCATAACAATATTTGCAGGAAGATCAGTAAAACCATTTGAAAATGATTTAAAGAAGAAGCATTCAAAAAAGTATTTTCATAATTATAATTGATACAGAGGCATAGAATAAATAGATTTAAAGTGGAAATTTTTGTTCTTGGTAGAAGAAAGGGTAGGTAAAGTCCCCAAAACCATGAATTTTTGTTTCCAAGCAAAAATGGATAAGTTGAATTTGCTAAATATTGAGTGGCTATCAAAGCTGTGAGGCGCTTGAGAGTATTGAGATTAGTCTCCCATCAAATAGTTAAAAATTATGCTAGAGTAGAAATAGTAAGTTGTTAGCCTTCACCCACAGGTTTAAACTTTTGGGTGGCAAATCCGTTTAACCATTGATGTATCAGAAAAATTGTGGTACCCTTTGGTTTGTATTCCCTATCAAGAGCCACTTTGCATTGCACTAAACCAGCCCAAATAAGTAAATTTCACAACGACCTTGGCCCAATTTCCATTGCACTAGGCAAGAACATTTGTATAAAAATGCCAATACCCGGTAGGACAATATAAAGAAGCCAAAGCTAGATACCTTTTATACAATCAACTTACTACTTGAAGGTCAAAAAGAACAATTTGTATCCATTTAAAAAAGCAAACCAAATCAGGAGCGTTTGTTTTTTTTCTTTTTCCACGTCTAGCCGTGCACTCTAACACGAGCAACTCGAAGACATCGATTCGATTTGAAACAGAAATATGTATCTACTTCTAACTGATACCTTTAGTGCACCTCGGACCATAGAAGGAAACGTCTAATTCAGGAAAAAAATTGAGACTATGCGAGAAACGACTATGACCCCTATCCAAGTAGGGCAAAAGCATAGAACGCAATTAAACCAGAGGAACGATGACAAGAACAAAACAATTTGAAACTGAGAAAGCTACAGGATAGATCCTTTAAAATCAATCTCTTTCACTGACCCACGTAGTCTCCCATGAAGAGATAGTTGGTATCTGGGGCTTCACCGCCGATCTTAAACAGCTCCATTAAATCATAAAACTGGCCGTGGATATCCCCACAGACGGTGACAGGGCACTTCACCGGCTGCACGTTCCACTCCTCCATGAGGACCGCTCTCGCCTTCTCGCAGAGAGCCTTCACCTCTGCCTCCGTCAGAAACTTGCATTGCCTAAGCTGCTCGATCTGGCGGTCAAGATCCGCATACGAGGGCATCTTACCCACTCCAGTCTCTTGCCGGCCGGATCGGCGACGGCAATCGATCCGGTAATCGTCTGATCGCCCGCCGCAGCCGAGCTTACATGAATCGCAGCGTCTTGGAGATTTGGAGATATGGGTTAGGTTTGCGGGACAGGAGAGGAGAGGAAGAATGATCCGATCCCGATCTCCCCTGCGCTCTGTGTTCACCGCTTAGCCCTCGGGTCGACCATTTCCGCTCTGCCGGAGAGAGCAAAAATCGACTTGTAGTCTTGCACACGGGAAATTATCAGCTCCGCCTCTAGCCAAATTACCATGTGACATGTACTAATAATTATACTTATCATACAATTTTTATGTATATATATATATATCATATTTAAACTATATAAAAAAAATATTTTAATATTAGCTCTCCTTCGAATATTTTTTGCACATTTATTAGGAACTTTTATTACATTCAGTGAACGTACGCTCCTCTACGTTCGGTTTTAGACCAAAACAGTGCAATATCGAGTTTTTTGAAAAAACTCGGTACAACTCGGACACAAATGTGTACTATTTTAAAACTAAAAAAAAAAAAAACTAGTACACAATTATCTACTTATGTTTTACTAAAATAAGATTTATGTACTTTAGAAGTACACATTTGTGTACTTGAATAAAATATATGATAATTATAATTAAATGATTGTGTACCTATGTTTTATTAACAAATATTACATGATACTTAAATAAAACTTAGGACCATAAGGATCAATCATAGACATTTGATTAAGCTTAAGCTTGACTAATAATTAGGCAAAGTATGAAGCACTACATATTGGCCTACACCTCATTGCAGGAGTCAAAGTTTGAAGGTTGAGTGTCTTCTACAATTCCCAGATTGCAGCAAGCCATGTGATTGGGAACTATGAAGTCTCAAAACCCTAATTTGAACCTCTAGTTGAAGAAATGCAAAGCTGATATCGCTTAACTTATGAAATTTGATAGCATATTTGTATCTAATGGCATAGTTATAATATGATTATGTCTTAAGCTCACTTATTCTCCGATGAATAAATTTATGAGTAGTATCCATAATGAATAAAAAAAGGGGCGCACTTTTTTTTTAAAATGTTTTAAGCCTTATCATGTATTCCTTATGAATCCCTACTCATATATTTATTCATTCGAGAAAATGTTTGTGTCATTATCTTATTATTGCAGTGTTAGAACTTTATGGGCTCCAAAAATATCTAAGTCTTTATTTGGGTTAAATTTTTAGAAGGGAAATTGAATATTTTATAATATACTACATGGATATTTTGCACTTTTTTTTGAGAATTTTTTTATCTAATTTTGAAATTTCTCGTAAATTTAAGCCTAAGTAATAAATTATATATTTTGCACTTTATTTAAGCTTTTATAGTATCAAAATAATAGTTTTGAAATTTGATTGTAAAACAGAGCGATAGAAATTGTTCTGTAAGTTTAGTGAGGTAATTTCAAGTATTTCTGAGTGTTCATTATTTTGGTTTCATTTGCATGTGTTCAATTGCATATTTTGTATGATCATAAATCCAACAGATCAAATATATGACAGACGAATAGAGTGTGAATCAGGTGGCTCTTATATATAGTTATTCTCCAACAATTGGTTCAGATTCAGTTTCACAGTTTGCTACTTTGATAACCCAGATGATGAGTGAGTCACAAAGCAGAGTTCCTATCATTAGATTTGTAGAACTAGACAAACATCTACAGATGTTTCTGAGACTGAAGCCTTCAGGATTCGAGACTTCAAAGGTATTGTAGCCCAAGAGAAACTTTCATATATATATTTCTTCAACTTCAAGCATTCTAGGAAAGTCAAATTTCCCAAAAAGAATTGGGCTTTATTTACCAAAATTAAAGAAAATTACAAAAAAAAAACCAACAATTTGAAGTAAAGACCACAAATTTGGCCGCCTCCAAACTTTCATAAAACATATATAAATATTAAAAAAACATAGTTTCTTAAAATCTGTTTATTACATGAATAAACATAATAGATCAAATAAAAATTAATTCCACCATGTTTGAAGTTCAATGGAGTTTTGATTACTTTAAAAGAAAACATAAGTGCCCGTCAATACTTCTGAGCCAACTCCTTTATAACAGCATCAAGCGAATCTTCGTTCCTGATGCTTCTCACCCAGTTTGCATTAATCCTAACTCTTTCCAGGCTCTGTTTTAAGTTTCTGGATATTGCAGGTGTGACTCTGCTTGCGAAAAATTCTTCGATTTCATCAGCTTTCTCGTCAGAAGAGAACTGCAAGAAGGAAAGGTTGACAGACGACTCAGAAAAACAGAGACTTAGCAATGGAAATGTAGAATAGGAGAAGATCGAATAGCAATGTTTGGCGACAAACCGGAGAAACGATGGAGCTAACAAAACGAGTGATCAGAAATCCAGTCCAAGTCTTTGAGATGTATTCCCATTTTTCCTGCATACAATCAGATGAAGAAATGATCAGAGAATTTGATATTAGGGTTTCAATGGGTTTGGAAGCATAAGCCGTAACTAAAAAATTTAAGAGGTTACTTGGCTGGCTGACACTAATGTTTCGTTTTGGACTGTTTTTTAATGCTTATTGAAGCAGTTTTTTAGTATAAAAATTAAATTCTTTTACTAGAAAACTGTTTCAAGAAGCAGTATAAAAGCCGTCCCAAATGAAGATTAAGTTACATAACATGTCATTAGAGGTAGATGTTAGATGCTGCATTTGTTAAGATCAGTTTGTAATGGATTACAACTTAGAGCGAAGCAGAACAAGCTTTTAATGAATTTTCTCTTTGAGAGAAGGTGCAAAAATTATGAAGCTTAATTTTTGCCCTTCCAAGAAATCTTATGGAGACTTAGGCTTCATTTGTGACATTTTTCTTGTTGCTTCTTAAAATTATTTTTTAGTACAAAAATTTTAATTATTGAACTAAAAAGTTGCTTTAAGAAGCAGCAAGAAAACTGTCACAAACAAATCCTTAGGCTTCATATGAGACGACTTTTTTACTGCTTCTTGAAACAGATTTTTAGTATAAAAGTAAAAATTTTATTACTATAAAGCTGCTTCAAAAAGCAGTTAAAAATTCGTCCCAAACGAAGCCTTAGGCTTCGTTTGGGATGACTTTCTTACTGCTTCTTGAAGTTTTCTAATATAAAAATTTTAATTGTAACTATTTGCTCAAAGAACATGAAAATTAAGGAGTAGAAACGTAGTTAGCTAAACCTTGTGTACATGAATATTTAGACACTAAGCAATGAGATCAGAGATGGTGGAAATCTTATTTTATCTCATAAGCTGATCAAGAAAATTGAACAATGATTATGTACCTTTAACCACCTCCATGCAACTTCTCGTCCTTCCCTGCTTATTCCAGCGATTCCATAAACCGCATCTTGATTCCTCACCTAAAAAATAAATCCAAACAAATTTAATTCGTTAATAAAAATCATAGCATATTGCATAGGCAAAAAGAAAGAATATCAATTCATACCTCTGATGAAAGGACAAAGTTTAAAGCTTCCGAAACAATATCTGGGTCAGGGGAAGACGCCAAACACGCTATAATTAAAGTAACAGTAGAATTTTTTTAATGAAAAATCCACTTAAATAATCCATTTTTTTCTAAATCTTGCCCAAAAAAAAAAAAAGTTTACTTGAACATACTCAATATCCGGGTTTTCTCTTGGCTTAAATCAGTTTCTCTATAAATCTTTAGAAGAGAGTCGTATCCGTATTTATTTGTCTTATCAACCCCTCGCATGACAGCAACATAAGCAGCCTAAAAACAATGACAAAAAAACATCAGCAACAAATCAAATTTGGTTCTTGTACGAACGTGTGATAATCTATCAATGTACATACATATCTGGTATCAGGAGGAAGGAGAGAGGTATCCCTATCATTCAAGAAGGCATCAAAGCGCTTCAACGCTTCATCTCGAGTAGCAGAATGTCCAAACCGAGCTAAAGCACTCAAGACTTCTCCTCTTAACATTGCATCCAAATGGCTCTCTCCCTCTTTTGGGTCCCAACCTAACCTGCTGTAAAGGTTAAATAGAAAGTCTCAATGAATAATATGAAGTCTTGAACAATTATTACTCCTTCCCCTAGCTTCTTATTCTGAACTACTTGGCATGAAAGAGCAGACCTACCCCGGGTGTGTAATAAGAATGCCATAGGAATAAAATGGAAGAAAGGATGCAACAGAAAACACATCGTTCCTCATACATATGAGCATGATGCATATTAATGAGGACATCAACAGAATATTTCGGCGCGTCTATTATCGTAGGAATCGTAGATTGACGGTTACGATTCGGAGTCTTTATTTATGATGCATTTATGTATTTTATTTTTATTTATGTTCTATTTTACCATTGTATCCCCAAGAGGGATTAGTTTATGTTGTAGCCCCGAGGGCATTTGAGTCTTTGTGTTTTTCCTTTTATTTTAGGCTTATATATGATGACCCTCCCTATTGTATGAGATAATGATTGATTAATGAACATCTTCAGCTTTCTCATTCCCTTGAGTCTTGAGAGCTCTAGAGAAGAAAAAGTCCCTAAGTGAGCACAAAGGCAATACCTGTCAGCCGTCGGAAGAGTCCGGGCTCATTACCTCCCCATCCCTTTCCCCCACCACCGGCCCCCTCCCTTTTCCTCCCAACTGATGGCCCCTTCCCCCATCTCCCCCAAACCACCGGCCAAATCCCCCATCTACACCCCATACCGACGGCCAAATCCCTACCTCCACCCTAAAACCACCGGCCAAACCCTCCTCCTACCCCATCACACCGCCGGCCATAATTTTCCTAACCCTTAGCCGCCGGCCTAACCTATCCCAAGCCCAGTTGAATCCAATTCAATTACACCTTTATTACTTTCCTAACTTAGCCGCATCTTTGGAAAGTTTCTTAATTCAAATTCAAATGAATTTGAATTTTAAATTATTTCATAAATAGCCTACACCTATTTTAGGAAGTCCCTCAATCACCATAAATTTGAAATTAATTCAGATTTGATTTCCCAATCAACTCCTTTCCCCTCTTGCTCTCAATCAAATCCCTCCCATCAAGGTGCCGCCCTACATAGCCCCAAATTTGAGGAGATTCAAATTCAAATTAATTCCACCTCCCTTAATTCTAAAATATGAAAATAAATTTCAGATTTTCATATTTATTCTTGCTCCCTTCCCTAACCCTAAAACCCAAAGGGAGAAGGACCCTCTCCTAGACTTGGCCGAAAACCTCTCCCTCCTCTTCTTTTCTTCTCCTTTATTTCATACACCCCAAGGAAGAAGCTACGCAACTCGGCCTTCGCCCATGAATGCTCATCCTGAAAGAGACCACGGATTCGTGTATGATCTTCAAGGATGAGTAAATATTCTCCGGTCTCCTTTCTTCAACTTCAACTTGGAGATCGACGACACTGTTGACGAATGCGTCGACCGGATCCTCTTCACTTTGACGTCTTCCATCGACGAGCACCAAATCTCCAGACAATGGAGAGTAATTGGACATCCACCAACTTCTTCCCCTCCGGCTAAATTTTCATTAGGCAATATTGTATGCGTCTTCTGTCTCTTGGTGGTATCCTTAAGTTTGCTAAAATTATTCTTCCATTAAAACCACCTCAAGAGTGAAAGTAAGAGGAACTCAAAGTGAAATTTATATTTGTTAAATTGTGGATTTCTGTTGTTTATGCATCTCGTTTTACTTTAATTTTATTGTTATTTTAAATTGCCCTGCTAATCTAGTTTGTAATCGCATGTCAAAGCACATTGACAATTAAGAAATCCTAAAATCTAATCTTGTGAAACATTTATTTTAAAATTAGCAAGCTTAACATATTTTTATTAAATTTATGCAATTCCTATTATGTTTCACATCACATATGTTATGGGCAAGCAAATACTAAAAAGAAATAAGCTAACGTCTTTGTTAAAGATGAATACATAAAAAAAAAATCAAAATGTTATTTGAATCCATTATTAAGAGTAGTTTAAACTAATTTTTTTATTTAAAGTAATAAAATAAATAGAAGCATGCAATACACCATAGACTAGTCATAAACAAATTGCAGGTGAGCTAGCCTAGAAGAAGATACATATGGGTAAAGTGTCATGCCCAAATCCAAATTCATAGATAACAATAGGCAAAGCTTCATGTCTACATGCAATATTGAAATTTGAAGTCAAGGTTCACGATCATATAAGATACTCATTGAAACATTAAAAATAATGGGATATATCAATATAGCTCATAAAAAATTTTAAAATAAAATTTAGAATTAGAAGCTAATGCCCTTGAAGATAAAAGTATTTGGGTAATCATTTTTAGGAGCAAATGAAATTTCTAATATTATCATAATAATACGATTCAAGTTTGTGAGTAATACAATGAATGTACGAAAGATAGTAACGAAACATAAATACAAGAGAAGGCATGTCATGATTCAATAAACAATTATCATATGACTAAAAAGGTCATCGTTAATGGAAAAGCTAGGGTATCTATTCAATGGGGACATAAGTAATATTCATCTATTTGTTTTCAACAACATTAGATATATATATATGTTTGATGTGCCATAAAGAATCATATCACAAGTTTTTAAAATATTTATAATTAAACATATTGGTTTGATGGAAAATAAAAAAATAATATAAAATTCACGCGTCTTTAAGAACCATATCATAAAGCATTATAATAATTGATAATAATAAAAAAAAAGAATTAGTCAAGTATTTCATTCCAATATTTGTGTAGTATTTATAAAATTTTATGAGAGTGTGGGCTCCGAAAATTCGGCCCCGGCCTTCGCTCGCTTTTCTTCTCGTTCGGCGAGGGAGTTTTAACTAATATTAAGTTCCGGGGTAAATTTTGGAAGGCAGATGAGTTTGTAGATAAGACACTACCCAGAGATCTCGCCCTCATTTTGCGAGGACTTTATGATATGAATTCTGGTTTCCTATAGGCGCAAGCCCCTATAGTTAATTACCCCTCCCGATAACGAGAGAAAACTTTCGATTAAGACTAGTCGTCAATCAGATACGTAGAGAATACGTGTTATCTGGCATATAATAGCAGCATGGGTTTAGGATTTGGAGATTTGATATTTAAAATGGAAATTTCACCATCTTGCACTTAAAGCGGATAGTGGGGGAATGAATGATGGACCCGATCAAGATTCCATGGTTCTGTCGTCCCGGGCCATCGTGGTCCCTGGTCTACTTAGTTAGAGGAGGTAGTCGACCCAACCTGACAGAAGGATCCTTGTAGGCAGCCATAGGTTGCTTCGTCCAAGGGGACCTTGTAGACCTGGAGTGAACATTTGCTTAAGGGGACAAATTTCAATCCACCTTAGTTGACAGAGGGCTTTGTGCCCTGTCAATCATATCCTATTGATTCATATCTCAAGGATTTGATGCCAATAAGGATCGTATTGGCTCTAGCCATAACCGGAATTTCGTGGTGCCATTTGGCGGCAAAAATCACTCGGTTCAGAGGGCCCCAGGTCATAACCGTTTATCCTGCGGTGCCATTTGGCGGCAAAATTGCCGGTTAGAGGACACGTACCACATCCTTATTGGCAGGAGATTGTTTGAGAATGAATCCTAGTGATATTTTCGACTAGGCATTTAGCTCAATGTGAACTGAAGTAGTTTTTCACTTGTCCACCTTGACAAATTGTTGCGGATAGTGGATGGATTTTGCCTTAAGTATTTGATGATTGATTTCAAATTTAAATATCTTAAAGCTTGATGATTTTTTGAATTTTTGGGGAATTTGGATTTTGTAGAAATTTTAGGACATTTTTAAATATCTGAGAGATTAACCCCTCCGGATGAGATTCACATTCAACACGGCCATCATCGGGGTGTGAGGTCATTTCTCTTATGAACTAAACCTTGTCAACTCAGCCAAGCTATTGACTGAGGATCGGGTTCCTGTTGGAGAATTTTTG